AAACATCCATGAATAAAGACAAAATTCCTCAGGGAGTTTTCAAGGAGTCTTCAGGGAATCTCCAAAAGTCTTCAGGGAGTTCTCTTATATGCTTTCAGGAATTGAAACACTCAGGGACTGCAGAAACATTTAAAGGACAATTTTGTTGTCATACTCTGCCCTTAGAGTGGCCCTCAGGATTTGCTGACTTGGCCATTTGCAGCCGTGGGCTTGGAACCTGGCTTCCACAGACTTCTTGTTTCTGGCCAGCTTGGTTCTTGGTGAGCCCCAGCCAGGCAGCACCCCAGCAGGGCTGGGCCATGTGTGCTCTGGGACGCTGGCATTTCCAGAGTCGATGATGCCAATAGGAAGACATCGGTGCTTCTTTCTTTTTGATTGGGCTGACTCATTCTCCAAAACAGCCCCAGAAACTATAGGACTCTGACAGCAAGTCCTATCTGTCCTATGGAAAATTCCCATCCACAGGCGGTCTTTGTATCTGATTTAAATCTGGCTTTCATATGTTCATTCATATTCTCAATCATTCCCATTTTCTCTTCTCTCCTTTTCTTTTCATCTAGTCCTTTCTCTTCTTTCTTCTCTTGCCACACAAGGGGAAGGGAAGGAAAGTGACTTTGTGGAGGTAGGTCCTGAACACACAAGCCAGTGCTATGGTTCCCATTTATTAACCTCTTCCTGGGCACCAGGCAACATGCCACAATTTTTATGCCTTTTCTTATGTTGTATAATTGTCAGAGTAACCCTCTGAGATAGATAATGTATCCCTCATTTAGGTGTTTTGCATGTTTGGTAGGGAGTGGGAGATAGTGACCCAGTGGTACAATAGCGACAGTTGTCATTTGCAAGGGGACTCCTTGTACATTTCTCAGCTCCTCATCATAGTGAATGGGACCCCCCCTCCAGCCTGCAGTTGCCTTGTTTGTGTGTAGTCTTGTTCTTGCTGGAAGGGCTACATGGTCCTGAGTGCTTGAGTCAATTGGATCACAGGCCAGCCTGCCATTTTGACCCAGGAGGAGGGCAGAGCCACTTCCCCAAGACAATATCAGGGGGAGCCAAAATACTAGAAGGCAGAGGAAAGCAGAGCTACATTTTTTTTTCACTACCATACTTACCTAAACTTTAAGAGTTTTGATGGGAACCAGTGCAAAGATTTCTAGAAGTGAAAACAGAACCGGAGAGAAGTGCACTAGTTCCCGCTGCACGCATGCACACCGCCTCCACTCACTGCATGCAGTTCTGTCCTCAGCATTTCAGAAACCGTCTCCTCTTCTTTGTACCGCTTGGTTATAGTTCAGGACTCATCCTCTCCTAGATTCTGCAATAGTGTCCTGACTGGTACCCCTGCCTATTGGTTCTCTGCACCCTTTCTTACTCCCTCTCTATCTTAGATACCATCGCAGTCTTAGTGCAAGTCTTCCCAACACACTGCTCTCCTGATTCAGCTTTGGCAATGGCTCCGAAGGCCAATAGATAGGGTCCGAGTTCCTTAACACGTTCTAGAAGGCTTCTCAAGATCTGGCTGTCTCCTCTCCAGCCTCATCAACTGTTTGGCCCTGGCCATGCTGAGCTCCCTGCAGCTCCTGAACGTGCTGTACTCACTGCGGCGCCTGTGCACAAACTGCTCCCTTTGCCTAGAACAACATTCCTGGCATTCACCACCTGGCTAACTCCTACTTATCCTTCAAAGCTAAGCTCAAATATACCTCCTCTGGGGAAAGCCTTCTAAGGCCCTCCCCTTCAGCCTGGGTTAGAAGGCCATTCTCTGTGCTCCTTTAACACCCTGGCTTCCCCCTATCATAATCCTTAAAACTCTTCAATTGTAGTGGCCTATTTACCCAGATTGCCCTGTGAGCTCTTGGAGGACAAAGTACACTGTCTTGCGTATATTTATTTTTATAATCCCAGGACTTTGCACAGAACAAATGTTCAATAAGTGTTTATTGATTGTGTTTTTCAAGAAAACAGTTTATAAAGTGCAAGCAAAAGGAGAGATGGAATTGAAAGCATATATCAGGGTAGGTTAACTTAGAAGTCTTCTTGGAGCTTCAGGCATAGGTTTTGTGTTTGCTGAGACTATGTATTGTTTGATGTGTTCTCTCTTCTAGTCGGGGGAAGATCTGTGGAGTAGGACTGAGTCTGGGAGTGGATTTGTTCCATAGACCTAAGATAACTACCTAATTTATACAGACCCTCCCTAGCCTGGCCATCTGGGTTTTCTTTCTGGGTAGAAATCATCTTCTATAGGAAATGGAACTGCTCCAAGCCAAGACATTTTCACTCTTACTAGTCCTTTCTGTGTTCTGCTGTCCAAGCATTAGGAAGACTGAGCCCTGTTTGAGCCTTGACAGGATCATGTTTCATGATCCCAAAAAAGTGTTTGTGTAACCTCAAGCCACGCTGAAAGTGAAATATAGCTTTGGGGGTGGGGGGTTGGGGGGAGGATTCTGCTGGACCTGACTCAACTTTTCATCTCGCCGCTGGGCTGTGTGTGTGTGTGTGGTGTGTGAGAATGTGGTCCGTAGGCGTCAAATGCGCTGATAGGATCCAAGGCCAGAACACTTGCTTTCAGTAGAGAGGAGGTTAGAAATTTAACAACAAACATTTGTTGAGCCCCTGTTGTGTGCAAGGCTTACTGCTGAGTGCTGTAGGTGATATAGGGGGATTAGGTTCAAGGCTCCATCCTCAAGAAGCCTCCCATCTAAGAGTTAAGGCTGGTCTACAAAGTTTTGGAGACAGGAGAGGGCATGGCCATCACTAGGTTCAGTAGTCACTTTAGTGCCCTGCGAATTACAGAAAGAAGCACCTTTTATTGAACTATGTACCAGACATCAGTTTAGGTCTTCTCAAGTACATGTTGCCTTTCACTTTCATGTTGTTCCTATCTTGCAGTTAGGAAATGGAAGCCCTAGTATGTAGTGGATGTGTGCTCAGAAAATTAAATTGGGAAAGAAACGACTAGATTAAGGTGGTGTTAGGATCTTGGAGAGAGGATGTTTATTTGGGGGTGGTGGACTATCCCCTGCTCCATTTGCCCTCAGCAGATGGGATGGAGGCTGGAAGAAAGACCTCTCAAATGACAGTTGTAAGAGTTTATTTGGTAAAACAAGCTCCTGGATTAGTCAAAATCCAGCGATGGAAGGAGTGATTGAAACCTTCCTCTGGACAAAGTGAAGGAGGGAGGGGAAGGTAATTTCCATGTAGAGAGGAGGACATTGGCTCTGGACCCTGTCAGAGGAGAATCGAAAAGTTTATTTATCTGCACATTTAACTTCAATCATGTTTTTCAGTAGTTCTTTATAGGAGCATGTGAGAACTCCTTCTCTTGAGTGCTTATAAAGGTCCTGCACAGGGGAGTCTAGAGCCTTCCGGCAGGGCCAACCTACAGACCTTTTCATTCCTGGTGCTTGGGTCTGACTCTGGCCAGGAGACAAGCTTTCCTGGGCTGCAGTTCTCGCTGCTCATGCCTCCCTAGAAAAGACAAGGACACAAAGCTGAATTTTTTCCTTTGCAAATGGTACATTCGAGAGCCCTCGGACTATGAATGTATTATAATCTTACATTTCATGGCTAATATCTCACTTTCTTACAGTAGCATAGGAATAGCCTGGCCTTCTTTCTTTTTACAAAAAACAAAATAGTAATTAAATATTTCAGTAGGTAATACGTGGAAACAATTCATGTGACGGGCCTAAAATTCAAAAGGGAGTCAAGTGTTTAATGGTGATCAGAAAGTCTCTGCTATACTCTGTCTTCTAGCCACCCAGTTCTTCTGGGTTAATCAGCATCACCAGTTTCTCGCTGTGGTTTTTGTAGCACTTTGTTGCTTGTTGTATTACTACAGAAGGGACATTGTGGCAGTTGGTTCAGCAAATGCTCCAAGTTCTTAGTATATCCAGTCCCTGGCTGCTTGACCTATGTTGTTGATTTCATTATGAACTTTATTTTCTTGCCCAAAATGTGTCCTGACTGAAGTCATGGTGCCATCATTAATAGCAAGACCATTCCCCTCTGCAGGACAAAGACTTTTCCATCCAGAAAGCTGTCAGAGGAGCTTTGGAAGTGTTGTATTCCCCCCTTGGAAACCCAGCCGCATGTTTCCTATTACATTTTATGACTGATAGGTGCCGCTTATGGTTACTTAATATAGACTCCTGTTGCTAAATGGCTCAAACTGATGTCTGTATTTACTTTGCCATCTGATACACAGCATAAATTTTTCTTACTCTAGTAACTCATCAAGCTCTTGAATCTTTCATCGGAAGCTAGTTGAGACACGGCGTAGCTAGTAGGAGCTATGCCTGAGCCATCTTTACACCCTTGCAAGTGTGTGCTCAGTAAGTGTTCCTCAGGGATTCAAGAGAGACTCAGTGAGGTTGCTTGCTCAGAAGGAGGAAGGACTTGAAAGACACGATAGGCGAGTTTTCATTGACCTTTCCTCTGGGTTAGTTGCTGACTCCCTCAGCAATGAGACCCTGGCTTCTTGACCCTCGTCAAATTGTTGATGTCAGGAAAAGTGGTCACAACTGCTTCCTTACTCCAGCTCCTGCTGATAGGAATTCATAGTGGCTGATCTCTTCTGGTTACACCCTGTAGCCTTTTGTGAGGCAAGGGAAATTATCATGGATTAATGACGGACCAATTAGAACTTGCTTCCTCTGTTTGGGAACTTATCTTTCACTGCTGTTTGTTTGCCTTGAGAAATAAGGAAGTGGGGCGGGGGGCGGTTGAAGACAGGGAGCACTGAGCTGGGAGTCCGCAGAACTGAATTCCATCCTCCGATAGCTGTACAACCCGGGGCATGTCATGGGTCTTCTCTGGGCCTCCATTTCCCTAGCTGTATAGTGAGAGTTGGACTCTATGACCTCTATGGTCCATCCCTATTCAAAGGCCTATGGTTTGGGATCCCCTGTTCCTAAAGTCCGTGTTCTTGTCGCCTTCATTTGTTGTCCCCAAACCCCAAATGCCGATTTCTGATTTGGATCTCTGATTTGTCCTTCTAGGTTTTCTTCGTGTCTGACCTCTTCAAGACCAAGACGGCACTCTCCCTGTCTCCCCCTATCAGGAAGGAAATCCTCTCACCTGTGGACATTATTGACAGGAACAATCACCACAACATGGTGTAGGTGCCACCCACCTCCTGAGCTGTTTTTGTAAAATGACTGCTGACAGCAAGGTCTTGCTGCTCTCCAATCTCATCAGACAGTAGAATGTAGGGAAAAACTTTTTTTACCCGACTGATTTTTAAAAGGAAAAAAAAAATGTCTTACTTTGTGGCCTTCCAAAATAGGTAGTGTTCACCTATATGGAAACAACAGCAAACTAACACCAAGTGCCGGAATCCTGGATGTGCAATTGGTTTATGTGTTCATGTTCTAATGAACACGGGCTTGTTCTGGAACAAACACTAAAAGGCTTTGAGCAGAGTCTGACAGTCACCTTTGTGACCTGAGGCATCCCAGGCCTGTGAGAAAAGCTTAAATTAACATTGTAGCACATGATGTCAGAAATAGCACTGAAGCAAGAAAATAGCCATTGGGGACTCCCCTCTAGCGTCTCTCTGTCCACACCACTCTGTCTTCTACTGTGACTTTGGTTCAGGAAGGGTTTGGTTTGGGGAGGGGGGGAGGGGAGGGGGGCATAAAGAAAGAGCAAATGCTCAGTCAAATGATCAGATCCTGAATCCAGATTCTTAGACCTAAAACCTATCACTCACTTCTTGGCCCACAGGCCAGCACCACAGTCCCTCACGTTAGTGATTAGGAGACTCTTTGTGGATGAGTGAATTTCACAAATAGCACAATTTCAGAAGAATTTGAGGGTACAGGCCCTCATTTGTCTTCTTTTGATGGACCATCCTGTGATGTTGAAACATCGGTTGCAGGATGCTGATGTTGTACATCAATCACCTGGGCACTTGCACGCTCTTAGTCATGGTTAGCTCTGGTTACTGCTTTTTCCCTTGAAATCCTTGCTCTGTGCCCACCGGGATTTCCTGTGAGGGTCCAGAGACGAGCCAAGGCATGGCCTGCCACCGGTTGATGGAAAGCAGCCTTCCGTAAAAGAGATGGGGGAGTGAAGGGGCAAGAATGAAAAATGAACCAGCCTTTTGGCTACTCAAACTCAGAATGAGCCAGAGTAGCAGATGGCCTCATGCCTGAGAGGCTGCCCTTCCAGATAACAGAGCTGACGAGGTCTCTGTGGGAGTCGCTCTTGCTAAGCTGTGTAAAGCACTATTGTCTTGGGGTTGATCTCTAGGGCAGTTCTTGATAGGTTCTGCTGGGCAGAACATGTGGGTTAAATCTCCGTAGAGAGTTCTCATCCTCTATCCATAAGTGTCCTCCCACGTAAGGTCCACTCTAGGCAGTAGACAGGACCCCTTCTACTGAACCTTTGGGAAAAGGAGGAAGGAAGAAATGCTTTCAGATCTTGGATGCAAACCTTTCAAAGGGTTAAATGTAACCACACGGATCAACCACAAGCACATCTTTACCACAGAAGCCGTCCTGTCATTTCAACTTATAGCAAGCTATGATTTTTATATATAAATATTATATAAATAATGTATAAAACATTAAAAGTTAACTATGTAAAATATTATTTCTGAAACAATTTTAGCTATATCCACTATGATTATAAACTGTGTCTCGACCTGTGTTACTTCATTAGCTGCTTAAAAAAGCATTGAGTTAATTTTTTTAATATCAACTAAAATATTGTAGTTCTGTGGTAGACATTGTTTTACAATAAAAGAAATAACTGCAACTAGAGAAAACTGTATAAAAACATTAAATTGTCAGTATTTTTGTAAGGTTCCATTTTGTAAAGAGAATAATATTCAAAGACTTTTGTAGAATACAAAGTGAAAACTTGTATCTGCGAAACTATACTTGTATTAAATGTGCTTTTTAAATAAAAGCTCATAACACAACTAATAAAGGAAGTTGGAAGCCTGGAATGTCTGAGGGATGTTTGTCTTGGATGTATGTGTAATAGCAGACCCTTCTGCTGTGAGTGGGCTTGTCTCAACTCAGGGTCCGGCTGCCTGATCGCTTCTGTGGGAAATATGGTGGTCATCGTCTGGGTACAGATGTCTAGGCTGCTCTTTGTCACTGAAAGCCTATTTGCCAAGCAAGGCTCTGGTTCTGCTCTCATCTCAGGCTCCTCTTCTTTTTTTCAATTATAGTTAACATTCAATATTGTTTTGTATTGGTTTCAGGTGTACAGCATAGTGATTAGACAGTTAAACAATTTACAGAGTGGTCCCCCTGTAAGTCGAGTACCCACCTGGCACCATATGTAGTTATTACAATATTATTGACTATATTCCCTGTGCTGTACTTTACATCCCTGTGACTATTTTGTAACTACCAATTGTACTTGGTATCTTCATCTTTTTTCACCGAACCTCTCAATCCCCCTCCTATCTGGTAACTGTCTGTTCTCCGTATCTATGAGTCTGTTTCTGTTTTGTTCATTTGTTTTGTTCTTTAGATTCCACATATAAGTGAAATCATACATTGTCTTTCTCTGTCAGACTTTTTTCACTTAGCATAATACCTTCTAGGTCCATCTGTGTGTCACAAGTGCTAAGATTTCATTCTTTTTTTATTGCCAAGTAATAATTCCATTGTATTTATGTACCACATCTTTATCCACTCCTTTTCATGGGCACTTGGGTTGCTTCCGTGTCTTGGCTCTTATAAATAACCCTTGCTCTCTTTTCTCCTTCTGGTAACCCTATGATGCAATGTTGTTACACTTGATGTTGTCCCAGGGGTCCTTTAAACCATCCTCATTTTTAAAAATTATTACTATTTTGTTCTTCTGATTGGGTGTTTTCTGCTACCTTGTTTTCCAAATCATTGATTTGATCCTCTGTTTCATCAAATCTGCTGTTGATTCCCTCTTAGTATATTCTTCATTTCAGTTATTCTTCATTTCTGACTGGTGATTTTTTTTTTTTATGGTTTCCATGTCCTTTTTTTAAGCTTACCAGCTCTTTGTTGACATTCTCACTGAATTGATCTATTCGCCCCTAAGTTCCTTAAGCATCCTTATAACCATTGTTTTGAACTCTATATCTGGTAGATTGTTTGCCTCCATTTCATTTAGTTCTTTTTCTAGGGATTTCTCCTCTTCCTTCATTTGAGGCATGCATCTTTGTCTCCCCACTTGGGCTGCCTCTCTGTCTGTTTTTATCTTTTAGGTAGATCTGCTATGTCAGTCCTAGCAGAGAGGCCTTATGTAGTAGGTGTCCTGTGGGACCCAGTGGCCCAGTCTCCCTGATCACCAGTGCTTGGTGCTTCATGAGAGTTCCTTGCGTGGGTTATGTGAGCCCTCCTGTTGTAGTTGAGCCTTGATTGCTTGAGGGTGGAAGTGACCCTCAGGTTGTGAGGATTGGTCGCAACTACAACATATGAACTTCTATGTAGGAGAACACCCCATGGTGTTCAGATTCAGATTTGCCCCAATGGGTCTTAGGGCCTGCTGAGACCTCCCTTTGGGTGTGCTGCTTGTGGAGCAAATTGGGCAGTGCTTTGTCTGAAGTCAGCCACCAGGTGTGTTGATTTTGAGTCCCCTTGGGAGGGACACCGGTGCAGATCAATGTCAGGTGCTGGCTGTGGCCAGCCCAGATCTACCTCTGAGGACCTAGAAAGCAATCTGGTTGGTAGCTGCCTATGCTGGGCCTGGATGTGCATGGGAGAGGGACATGTTACAAACCCATGTTGCTGCCACTGCCGCCAGGCCTAGGGCAGGCCAGCAAAAAACCTGCCTGCCAGCTGCCCAAGAGGCTCAGCCCCTGAAAAAGCCTCTGGTGGTATATGAGTTGGGCAAGGTGGGGTCTTGGAGCTGTCAGGGTGAGGCTGATGGAGTTCACCAGGCTAATGCAGGTTAATATTTGGCTGAAGTGGCAAGGAGGAGGACTTAACACAGGGACAATGGCGGCCATCCCTCTGGACCTAACTGCAAAGTCAAAGAACTCAGTTTTTTCTGTATGCCTCTGGTGTCCTCCAAGCCTTAACCCTCCTACAGAGCCCAAAGTTTGTACCTGGGATCCAGACTTTGTGTGCTGGCCCTTTAAGAAGATGCCTGGGTTTTCAGCAGCCTTCCCTCTCACCCATTCTGGCCCTATTTTTTCACAGCCAGATGTTATGAGGACCCCTCTTGTTGGCACTGGTATCCTGGTGTGGGGTTGAGACCCCTTGCTTCTCGGGGGACCTCCACAGCTGCTATATTCCTCCCAATTCCCAACCGCCACACATGCGTACAGAGTCAGCCTGTTCACATGTTTGCCCCTCCTACCATGCTTGATGTGGGTTCTTTATATCCTTAGTTAAGGACTTCCATTCAGAATATGGAGGTTGATTGTTCCATAATTTAGGTGTAATTTTGATGTGGTCATGGTAGAGGGGAGCGCAGCTTCCACCTGCTCCTCATCTTGACTGGAACTGACAAGATCAGGCCTCAGGCCCTTCTAAAGAGCTTTTGTATTCTAAAAGGGGTTTCACCATGAATGGAGGAGCTGTGGGTTCCCCAAAGGCAGATGTGGAGCATTGCTCAGATAAGGTGTGTTTGGGGAGCTCACTGAGGGATTTTTTTCACATAGCCAACATCAAAGAAAGTGGGGTACACTGCTGAGAAGAGTATTTGGCCCCTCTTCTTTCCCTGTCTTTCCTAAACCTGGAAGCAGAGGGGAAGCTGGAAATTCACATTTACTGAGCCACCTATATGCCTGGTTTTTCAATTTTTTTAAAAAAATATTTATTTATTTTTAGAGAGAAGGGGAGGGAGGGAGGGAGAAAGAGAGGGAGAGAAATATTAATGTGAAAGAGAAATATCAGTTGATTGCCTCTCATATGCTTCCCAACCAGGGACTGAACCTGCAACCCAGGCACGTGTCCTGGCCGGGAATCACACTGGTGATCTTTCGCTTTGCAGGATGACGCCCAACCAAGCCATATCGGTCAGGGCCACTTCAAAAATTTTGATCCTTATAAGCAGTTATTTTTTTGAAAACTAAAGAATACTAAAGAAGGAAAAGATGAAACAACTCACCTAAGATACTAGAAGAATAAACTGCAGGCCAGTACTTGTATTCATTTTCTGTTGCTGTTCTAACAAATGACCACAAACTTGGTGAATGAAAAGAACACACACTTTATTATCCTCCAGATCTGGGGGCTCTAGTGGAGAAGCTGTTTTCTGGCCTTTTCCAGCTTCTAGAGGCCATTTACATTCCTTGGTTTCTGTACCTGTTCTTCCATCTTCAAAGCCAAGCAAGAACAGGCCCCATCCTTCTCACTGTGCCATCTCCCCTGTTCCTCCCTTCTGCCACTCTTAACACATATAGGGCCCTGCTGATTACATTGGCCCCACTTGGATAATCCAGGATAATCCACCTATGTAAATGTAAACGGATTAGCAACCTGGATTCCATCTGCCTCCTTAATTCTCCTTTGCCATGTCACAGTGTATCAACAGGTGCCGGAATTAGGACATGGATATCTCAAAGGGGGCCATTATTCTGCCTACCACAAGGTCAGCCTCAAAGATTCACATACGTTCCACATGCAAAGTACGGCAATATTCCCTCAAATCTCAGCACGCTGCAGCATCAACTCTAAATCCAAAATGTCATCTAAATCTCACCTCAGAAGTTCCAAATCTCATCATCCAAACTACATTGTCTAAATCAAGTAAGGATAAGGTTCTAGGTTTAATGCATCTCAAGGCATAATTGTTCTCCATGTGTAAACCTACAGAACTCAAGAACAAGTGATGTGCTCCCAAAAGTCGATGATTGGAGAGACATAGAATAACAGTTAACAGAAATTTTTTTCAAAAGAGAAAATGGAAGAGAAAAAGGAATCATTGGTCCCAAGCAATTTCAAAGTCCATAAGAAAAGTCCGTTTGGTTTTAGGGACTGGGAATAAACCCATGTGGCTTGTGGCTTCCTTTTCTGCCACCAATATCAGCCTGCTTTTTGCTGCTAGACAACCCCAGTCAGGCCCCTGCACTAGCTCAGTACTTTCTCAGCACTGTGCTATAAATGAAAATGTAACATTGGGCCCCAAGATGCAGCTTGGGAGACACGTAAGGCCAGAGTCCAAGTTCTTCCCTTCAAATCTAGGAGAATGTAGGTTCAGGTAGACAAAATAACTTGCTGGCAGGAGAAGAGAAACATACAGCAAGTTAGTGGAAAAACTAGTGAGACCAGACCCCAAGTATCCCCTCACCATGAGTTTTCCAGTTCTTTTATTACGTCTTTCCAATAGCACCTGATGGACTAAAGCAGTCTCAAGAAGAAATAATCCCATTACATGGGGACTTCAGGAAAAATAAAGCCACGCCATATGATAGGTTAGCTCTGGGACTCAGATCCAAACCACTCGAGTTATTTGTTAATTAATATTAATTACTTACCATGTACCATGCACCAGTAACCTCATGAGAGAGGATGATGAATAAAATGAATGGGATGTCAGCTTCGAGGGGCTTTGATAGGCGAGGGGAGAATGCAAAAACTCAAATAGTTATCCAAATATGAAACTAAGAACTAAAATGAGTGTTATAAAGAAAGTACAGGAAGCTATGAGAGATGTCGGCCGGAAGACCTGGCCCATCTGAGGGTAGTTTCCCTGAGATCTACCTAGGACCCAAAACCTCTTTACACCAACAGAAAGAATGGAAAGAGCCCTGCTAAGGGTCGGTCTAGGAGAAGAGATAAATGAATAAATAATGGTAGTGTGATGCGGGGTCAAGGGTCCTGGATGAACTGCTGTGGGAGTGAAAATGGAGTGAGTCAGAAAGACTTGAATGTTCTTTACATGTGGACCCTCTCTCCTTCTTGTGTAATTGCCACAAGAGTTCTCTATGAGTCCTTCCCATGATGACAGTTAGTCTTGAATAGCCCTTTGCAATTTTCAAAAACACT